TTGCTAAAAGAAGCTAACTGTCACAACAGCAAGTTAGATGCAGTTAACTTGTGCAGCTAACGTTAGTCAACTTAGCCCAGGGAAGCCAAAACTGGCAAAAACACCTCAGTACTTTATTTCCTCTTTTCAAACTCCTCCGCCAGCATCAGGTGCTGCATTCAGGCCCGGTCTGGATGTACGGTTCACTGGGAGCTCCCAGCCCCGGGAGAGTCTTAAAGTCTATCTTAAATTAAAGTTTTCATTGCTTGTAATAAGCACAACCTGCTTAAAATTTGAGGGCCATTACATACAGTCATGTCAGTGGCAACATTGTTTGCTCAATGCAATGAAATTTGATATTATCTAAGAACATTTGTTTCTAGTAGGACTGTAGTGGATAGACACAAACCTTCATTCACATTTTGTTTTTCTGAATTACTCGAAATTCTGTTTACATCTGCAATATATTTGAATGGAAACACGGCTAAATGCCCGGCCTAGTCGCTAATATATGGTTAAAAATGTTTTGTGGTGGGACAATTAATCTAAATATGCTTTGAAACTCAGCTGTGCCTGTTTTAATGCTGTGAAAGAGAACAAGAAGTGAAAAGAAGTGCTGACTCTTGTGGCTTTTTCTCCACAGTCATCAGACAACAAACAACACTGGACAGTGAAACTTTCTGTAGCACACTCTTCTGGGTTCCCACTGCGACTTCTGTATTTCACTCTAAAATCTGGATCCTGTGTAGAGAACATTTCCCAGCGGTGTGACACCGGACACCAAAAATATCACTTTGGCATGCAGAGCAAATCCCCGGTGTCTCAATTAGAGAGATTGATGTTTTAGTCAAAGCCCCAGGTTGAGTAGATTTTTACATAAACCTCTTTAAACATGTTAATTTCAAACACAGGGAAGCTCCACTTCGCCTCCTTTTTACACTTTAAACAAACTGATCAACAGATTCACTCAGCCAGTTGGCAGACGCACACAAAATAGAGAAAATCTGTGTTTTCCCCCCAGGTATGGTGGCTATGGTGGAACATGGGACTAAAACTGAGAATATTAAAGTAATTCACATCAAACTTTTTGCTGAAATCTCGCAAAACTTGCTAAAGTAGATCACCCTGGAAGACGAGAAGCATCTGATTAATTCAATTCAATATTTCGTAGCTGAAGAAGACAGGACTAGAGTTTTGTAACACAATGCTCAAAAGTCATATACTTATTAACTCGCTAAAACAGATTCTACACATCTCTGGAGGATTAAAACGACTTTCTTACAAAAGATATTCCCTCATTTGTTTTTTTTTATGCAAAAAGTGAGCCCTCGTGCCCTATGGATTCAGGGGGTTACTGTCATCCTAGAAGACCACTCCTGTCAGGATAGAAATGTTTTATCACAGGGTAAAGGTGATCACTCAGAACAACTTTGTATTGATTTGCAGACACCCTTCTAGGGCTGTCCTCGACTAGTAGTCAACACAGAATATAAACTTCAAACTACAAATACAAATACAGGCGGACTTGGTCAGTTGACGGACAGATGATAGATAACGTTAACAAACTGGCTCCTCTTCCTCCGTTTTATTCCTCTCCTGTCGCTGCCTGAACCCGCCATGTCTTCATCCTCAGAGTCAGAGTCTTGGTCGGAGTCGTTGGGTGTTTAAACTCCCCCTGTCCTTCAAGCTCCAAGTCTGGGTACAGACAGCAAATAGGACAGCTAACTACAGTAATCCCTGATACTTTGGTCCTGGTGACAAGTCGCAGCCCCTGAACTGAGTTTCTTTTGTTTTACATCGACTATCTGACTGATGAAAAGCGCGTCGAATAAGACTCTTCACATTGACTAACGATTAGTTGGACTATTAGTGGTCCAGCCCTAGACCCTTTCCTGCTGCAAAATGCCCCCCAATGCATAAC